CGCGGCGCGCGGTGCTCTGCGTGTGGTGGAGCACGGCCCCCAGCAGCGTCCAGCCGCCCACCGAGTAGAGCAGCGCCGAGCGCGCGTTCCACACCGCCGCCCGCATCGCCCCGCAGCAACGCGCGCCCTCATTGGTCGCGCCTCGCCGCCAATCAGCGAGCAGGCGCTGGCCCCGCGGGGCGGCACAGGCGCGGGCGCCGGCAAGACGGCGGCAGCCGTTAGGCCACGGCAGCGACCGTTAACTTTCAAACGCGTCTTTCCCCCCCCGCGTCGCGTCTCGCGCTCACCTGGGAACAGCACAACTACTACTGYGCTTAGCTAGTTTTATTTTCCATTAATACAGTCCCTGCTGCCTGAGAGGTCTGCTAAAATAAACGTTTTAAGAACACAGAACTTTTAAAAATTTATGCTCGACATGTAAGATCCGTATTAAAGCATCCTGCAGCTCTGATTACTGCGTACAGAAAAAAAAAATACACTGAGCAAGGGCAAAAAGGCATAGAAATAAATTAATAGCTAAAAGGGCCTGGTACAAAACTCCAGGAATAGTTATTCCATGTGATATTTAAAAGTCTTAGTCTAAGAAGAGAATGCAGCAAGCTGCTCCCACTTCCATCACCAATGGGATTTACGTTACTGCTGTTGTTGCTTTTCGGTTAGATCCCGTTACGATGCGCTTGACACGGCCAGCTTTTTCAGGTGGTCCATGAATACCTGGAGGCTGACATCGTCCGTTAGGATGGGAGCGCCCGATTCCTGCAGGAAAAGGAAGAATAGCCCCAAATAGCACCGTTAACACTGGGGAGCTGCTTAAGCGAACTAAGTGTCAACCTCTGAGGTAAGACCGCCCCATTTACTTCTCTGTAAGGGACGGGTCTAGTGGAAAGATGCCAGTTTTTGACAGGGTTCCTGAAAATAACCCTCTGTGCAATCTGCAGATGTGGGGGGAAAACCTTTCTAAAGTATTGGGACCTTTCTTTGTCCAGAGTTCTACACAAACAAGATAAGGAAGAGGATATAAAAGTCTCTTATTCTCAGGTAAACTGTATCTGCATGTACTGCTAGTACTTAGCAGGCTTCCCCCCTCCTCCCCACAATAMTTCATACATTAATTGTGACCTAAGAGTTTTAGACCAGATATACAGAAAACAGTGAAGATMATCAATTGCTACATCAGGTCACCTAAAACTCCCTGTAGGTCTCTTGCAACCTGTGATTTTCAAATCCAGCCATAGGGGAGGAGCACCAGGGCACAGGCAACCAGCTCATCACTCTCAGCCTAACACAATGTGATGAAACAGAAGGGCTAAAAATGCAGACAAATATGTA